AAACTGCCAGGCCCGGGATTCACGTCACACTTCAGCCCGTGGCATTCCGGTCCCTTAGTCCTTGGGCTACAGCAGTGATTGGAAAGGACCGTCTTCACAGCTCAAACCCAGTCCAGGGCGGCCGCAGTCTGTGTGCTTCTAGGCCGGTCCCCGGCATCGAGTACACCGAGACCTCCCAAACCCAGAGCCCCCGCCTTGCAGAGACTGGGGTAGGTTGAGGAAGCCCAGGGCGCTTGTTCCGGAGCTGCTGCCAAAGGGTGGCGCTGGTGGCCCCATAGGGCAGGTCTGCAGTGAGGACTCAGGCTAAGGGAGAGAACCCCAGAGGGGCCAGGGGCAGCGGGCCGTGGAGAGGCCAGTTCCAGCTCGGAGTCCACGGAGCTGGCTTTGCCACCTTGGGCAGGCCACATACACACCTGAGCACCCGCTTCCTTCTGAGCTGGGCCAAAACGCTCCCAGGTGGGACCCTCCGAACACTTATTTCTCCAATACACGTGACCCTGTGTGCTGCGTTCTGGGCTAAGACGTTCACCGGCAGTATCTCACTGGTTCTTGCAAAAACACTATGAACTATCCTGCTTTGAAGAGGCTGAAACTGAGGTCAGAGAGCTGAAGTAACTTGCCCAAAGCCACACAGCAAATGGCACAGGCAGATTCGACCTGGCAGCTGCTTTCTGAATTGTACTTTTATTTTTTTAAACCTCTTAACTCACTGCAGAGAGAGTACCAAAATGGTGGGCACTGCTAGCATCTAGAGAGGATTTTAATTTTATTTATTTTTAATGTTCTTTTGGTAGAGAGATTTTTGTTATAGGGCAAGTGTGCTCCCTGGAGAGACAGAGCAAGAGAAAGTGAGAAATCACCCCCCAGGGGGGATGGCCACGCCGCAATCCCTTCTCCTCCATTCTCCTCTCGGGATCTCGGACACGCATGCAAACACTCCCGGCGTGAGTTTAAGTCACCGGGTCTGGAACTCACACTGTGGTCGACCACGTGGGAGTCCAGCCATGTAACCATTCCACCATCTACTGGTCCCGACGATCTTGATTTTAAACTGTAGATCCAAATTCATTAGTGAGCGGAGCTCAGCATTTAAAATAAAAAATATATAAAGTAGATTCGGATTAAAAATATCAGGATACCTGGCATATTGGAAAAATAAGTTTTCTTCTATAACATTTTTGTTTTCATTATTTCGGGAGATAGGAGTGGTGACTGTTTATCAGCTTGCAGTAAAAGCAAATGTATTTGGCCAGCAGGTGGTGTAGAGGTTAAGGTGTTGGGCTCCCACCTGGTAGACCGCAGTTTGAGTCCCAGGCCCGGCAGCTTGAAAATCACGCTGGGCTTGTGTGCATGCATGCCCCAAACCCCAGGAAGAGGAGAGAAGGGATGCAGCATGGCCACCCCCCCGAGGGCGGGGGGTGACTTCTCACTTTCCCTCTCTGTCTCGCTGGTGAGCACACGTGCCCTATGGCATAAACCCAGAGTGTGTGAGTGTGTGTGTGTTCTCGGGTGAAGTCAGCAGGAGGTAGCAGTCTGGAGAGGCGGTCAGCCAAGTCTGCTTTCCCCAGAGAAACGAGCGGGAGAGAGGGGGAGTGGGGCAGCCCTCGGGGTACACCCACGGAAGGTTATTTGAAATCCTCTTGACTTTAATTTTCCTCCCAGTATCAGCAATACTTCCGGGGGGGGGGGCAGTGGCTAACGGAACGGCCCCCGGCTTGCCTCCCCCTCAGTGCTCTACCAAGTGCAGTTTGTGCTCCAGTTACCGTGCGGACACATGCCTCTGCACTGGCCCTTCGACAGGCTGCATTATTGCAGATGTTCTCCTGGGTTGAGCTTTTCTGCCTACCCTGTAAAGAAGGTGTTGTGTGAGGCATTTTACACGTGGAAAGCAGGTCGTTTACCCAACTCATACAGCTGGCAAAGGGCGGGCCTCAGATGGAACAGAAAAGTTTCTGTTACCACAACAGTGAGTGTGGGAATAAGAGCACAAGGTCATCCCGGCCTCCCAGGTGTTCCATAGAAAACAGCCCAGATCCAGGATGGGGCGCAGGCGGCCCGGCCACAGCGGCACCCCGCTGCCCTCCACGAGCTGCCGCTTCAGATGGAGGCCACTGTATTATTTTTTAGCATAGGGGAATTTGCATTGCTGTTGTTATTTTACAAAATGCGAGACAGTATCTTGTCCGGTCATAGTCTTTCAACATCAGCTCAAGTTGGACCAGCAGTTGGCGTAATGGCTATGTCCCTGGACTCCCATGTAGTCGACCGCGGTTCGAGTCCCAGACCTGGTGGCTTAAACTCACGCCAGTGCGTGTGCGTGCGTGCCCAAGATCCCAAGAGGAGAAGGGATTGCGGCGTGGCCATTCCCCCGTTTGTGTGTGTGTGTGTGTGTGTGATTTTTCGCCTTCTGTCTCTGTCTTTCTGGTGATCGCACGCGCCCTATAGCAAAAACCTCTCCAAAAAAGGAAAAAAAAAAATCAGCTCAAGTTATGAAATGCTGCGCGGATACATACAGGCTTCCAGGCCTGCCCTGGACCTCCTAGTTAGTCTCCGGCAGGTCTGCCTTTTGATTTTGCCGCCCTAGGCAGGGCCTCGAGGGTCTCCGCACCAACATGCGTGTGCGCCCCAGGCTCTGCGCCCACTGGCCTAGTGGGTGGGGTCAGCCTGCGCTCAGGGAAGCGGCCCCGGAACCCCTCCTCTTGGGCCAGGCCGGGAAGCACTGGGAGTGCTCAGAAGGGGCTTCTTCCTGCCTGCCCTGCAGGGAGGCTCACGTGCTCTACCCTTCTTAGGACTGGTGTCACCCTGTGGGCGCCGGAGTCCAACAGGCAAACCTGGATGTGAACCCGAGATTGGTGCCCAGCAGCTGTGACCCGGGCCTCGGTTTCCCCACCTGAAAAATGGGAATAATGATCCCACCATCGCTCTGTCCTTGTCCTTGGAGATAACCACATGGCAGGCTAGGCCCTGGACGGGGCACACAGCATGGGAGCGCCAGGGCTGAGGGCAGTGCTGACCGACCGGTGACCCCCACAGATGCCGGTGCTGAAGCAGCTGGGCCCCGCGCAGCCCAAGAAGAGACCGGAGCGTGGCGCCCTGTCCATCTCGGCGCCTCTCGGCGACTTCCGGCACACACTGCACGTGGGTCGCGGCGGCGACGCCTTTGGAGACACCTCGTTCCTGAGCCGC